ATATATATATATAAACTTTCATTTTTGAATGTAGGTTCGACCATATAATGCTTGTTATCCATAATTATTCATATTCTTTTGCACCATGGACACCCCTCCCCTGATGCTCTTTGTACATTGAAGTAGAGCCCAATGACCTGTAGAAGAAGGGTGGCATGAGTCCAGTGGGTCAGCCTGTCCAGTACTGAGCACCCTTCAGCACATAGATCCAAGAGCAATGCACTAGGCGTCTGACCGGCTGATAAACCAGTCAACGTCATGGGTCAGGAAATGGGTCAGTGATCCCTGAAAATTCCTTCCCTCCTAATTCTCTCATCTTTCCAGCACCGTAATGCAGAGCAGCACCAATAAGCACTAGTGTCACAGCAATATTATAAATGTTTACAGCTGTCAGTGTGAAAACCACATACCTGGTTACATTTATGTATTGATTTGTTGTATGACTCACCGATGATCATGGAGAAGAGAGATGTGATGTTGAGAAATTATTGAAATACAGTGTGCACTTTTAAGTATTCATTTATAGTTACACTATGTTTCACCAGTTTGAGACGGAGTTACAATGTGATATTGGATGCTTGTGAGGATTTCTGTGATTTTATTTAAAGAAAAATTCAATGTCGGAGAGAATTTAATTCTTTACCTTACCATCTTGTCTTTCCCTTTCTTTCATAGTGTGCACACCCATATGCCAGAGTTAGTGTGAGAGACCACACATTTCCATGCAAAGTTTGTCTTTCATAGATCACAACCTTTGTGTGGAAAGTTTTACGCTCAAGCTTCATGCCCCATTTCGTGCGTATGTAAACATAGTAAATCAGGTCCCTGGCCTGATCACCACAGATTTAGAGGAATATCAGAATAGAAAAAAAACTGACATCTCTGTTTGTTTGAATTGAGAATATAGAACATTAAAAATTACAGGTTGCTCTCATTTTGATCAAATACACTAAACATCTTCTTTTAGATTATATAATTAAATGGTGAATTTGATCCATTTCGATGACAAACTTTGATTCATATAAAGAAGAATGCATGAGGCCGATGCTGTTTGAACATGTTCAAACCTACAAGATATCTAACTCTGTCAAGATCTTTGTGCCTCATCTGCATTTCACATTAAATGATAAAAATGCTGATTTCCTGTGTTTTGGGTGTTTGTGAAAAACTGCATGACCTGTTCCTCTATAATGCAGATTGTTAGATAATGTAACTCTTGCTTTACTCGTCTTCACGAATGCGAACTCTGCTCCCTCTGATGAGTGTTTGTACTGTGACAGAATCAACTGTTGGGTTTGTGTAACAGTATTCCAGTTTGTTCTGAATTCAGGCAGCAGTCTGCAGGTTTTAAACTGCTCTGTTCAATACTCATGAGGGTTGATCAGTTGAAATGTGAGGTCATTTAGGGATTAATACAATTATAAACTTCAAAATTAAGAGCTGCCTTTGATCTGCCGTTAGGGTCTGGAGGTATAATACTAACACTGTCTCACACTGTGGAGTTTAAATGAAAAAATTAATTAAGGAAGCATTTCCTGAGATTCTTGGCAGAGTTAAAAAAAATGACATCCTGGTCGCTTTCGCAATGGAAAATTAGCAATTTTTCTAACATTGTGAACCTCACATTTTAGCAATACTAAGTAAAATACTTATTGGTCTATGGCGCCCTCTACTGGCGATTATGAATAATGTTTTACTTTATGCTCATGAAAACCATTATTCTTTAAAATTAACAATTTGAACCAAACAAAACAAGAACAACAACAAAAACACAAAAGACCAGAGGTCCGTTTCATGAAGCAGGTTTACAGAAAACACAAAGTTGTCTAAACCTGAAAACAGGGAAACTCTGACTTTTCCAGTTTCCTCAACCTCTGTAGTAAGGTTATTTTCTTTTATAACTATTTGTGCATTGTAGTGTGAATTTGAAGTTGTAGAATAAAAAAAAAAAAAATCACAAGTAAATTTTTTTTATACCTGTTCAAATATGAACTTCAAGTATTCAAATTCTGTCCTACAAGTTGCACATCAAAACCTCTTGCTTTCTCAGTTTTTCTCCAAATGTCCAGAACTATTGTTGCAAAACTATTTGTGCATTGTATCTTTGGTGTTTTGTAATTGTAGATTTTTTTTTATCTGTCACAGTTACAAAAAAGTCACACCTCTTCAAATTCTTGAGTACCAGTACACAAATTGTTTTCTTTGAGTTGCACATTAAAAAAGTCTTCCATTCAGTTTTTCTGCAGTTGATCTAAAACAAATGGTGCAAAACAAATTCATACACGTGTATTAAAATCTTCTTAAAAAAGACATACTGACTCAAGTTTGAAGAGGTTTAACTATTTTTTAGTAATTGCGACAGATTAAAAAAATCTACAGTTACAAGACACCAAAGTTACAATGCATAAATAGTTTTGTAACAATAGTTCTGAACCATTTGAAGCTAAACTGAGAATGTAAGAGGTTTATGATCTGGAACTTGTAGAACAGAATTTGTGTACTTGTACTTATAATTTGAACAGGTGTAAAAAAAAAAAATTGTACTTATACAAAACTTAGAATGTAACTCTCTCTACAACTTCAAATTCACACTTACAATGCACAAATAGTTTTGAAACAAAATAACCTTCATAGGTTTAGGGCTGAGGTTTCAATTGTACGGAAGAGGATTAGGGCCACTGTAAAAAAATAGATTTTTAAAATTTATTTCGGTTTAGTATGGGAAAAAGTCAGAATTCTCACTTTTTTCTTAGAATTCTGACTTTAATCTCAGAATTCTGACTTTTTTATTGTCAGAATTCAGAAAATAAACCATATTTAGACCATAGACCATATTTACACTGAAGAGGTGGAAAGTTATCAGCATACATTTTATGGTGGTGATATTAAGCTTTATAGTCTCATTGGACAAAATATATCTTTTAACATTCATTATTGAGAACTATCTTAAACATATAATGAATACTTGTTATTGGCAAGAAGATCTCTGGTTGGGCAGTATAGCAAGACATCTAGGACTCTGCACATATGTTCATGACAGCATGTCTGTGCAGATGTGGGAGCCTTTAGTACTGCCAGCAGATGGCAACAGCATACTGTTCAACAATATCTAGGTCTGCTTATGGGACCCGGTACAAAAAATATTTTGAGGCTCAAAAAGGAGTGAACACTATCAGGATGAATGCATGACTAATTATTAAAATATGACAAATAGTTTCGTGTATTTTTATGGGCATAGAACATAACTAGGCCTCTAGGTTCACATTCATCTTGTTATTAAACACATCTTATGTGTTAATAACGTTTAGTAACATGTTAATACCGTAACAGGGATTAATTATGACTTCTAAATAAACGTTTGCTGTCTAGGATTTAATGTTTACGAAGAACAAAATGTATTATAAGGTTTGGGTTATTTAAATTGTTAAGGGAAAATTTGCTAAAGTAAACAAAGGTACTGAGAGGATGATCTATTTAATTTCAATGATAATTCCATCTTCAGCAAGGAGGATGCAACCAAATACCTAAAGTCTAAATTCAAGGGTTACAGATGTACAACAACAAGACTGAGTGAAAGGGACTTTTGGTTTCTTAGTAAAAACAACTTCAAAGTAATTTTAAGTACTATTTCAGTATTCCAATATTCAACTTCTTAATGAAAGTTAAAGTTACAACATTGGCTTGGTTCTTCTCATTTTTGGGTCTTATTTGCTCTTTTTTTCTTGATGTTATATCTTTATTTGACTTTATACTTTATCTGTCATTTAATTCTGTCCTTTTTTTATTTTCATTTTTTTCTCTACTGTGGCCCTTATTTAAGTGAGGGGAAAGCCATTCAGCAAAGGTCTCCAAGACTCCGATGAGTAAGGCCACCATATATTGCCACTACTTCCTTTTTTTTTTTTTTTTTTACAATATCATTCTGAGGGATTGTTGAAATTCTTATTACTTTGTGAAAAAGGGTCATTACTAAGATGCACAGTTTTGAAATGTTTATGTTTGTGTTGCTCTCCACTCTGACCAGATTCCCAGGGCTCTTGCAAGAGTAACTGACCCACAACATGACATATCCTCCACCATGCCTACACTAGGAGTGGGGCATGAAGTGCGCTCTTCATCAAGACCTTTCTGCAATGTTTGTTAATGGTTTTATTTGATCAAAGCAAATGCTTCTTATTAAAGTTTAGTTTAGCTGACCAAAAGTAGTTTGATGATCCAGTGAAAAAAGCTTTGGTCTTAACATACCTTCCTAACAACCAATTTGCATAAAAAATAGCCTCTTCTAACATCTTGGTGACCTGAAGAGGCGAACTTATGTGGCAGTTTGTTTTCTTTTACCTCCTCACCATCACCACCCTGTTTACTTATTGGTAGTATCATATCCTTGGGTCAGCTTGCAGTCACATGCGATGCTCTATTTGAATTGATGTATGAACTTAATTAAGGAACCTCAAGTTAGGTGCTTATAGCTGAAAGTTGGAAAACCATTGGGATTTGTTAATTTATGTGTTGGTTACCATTGGCAATACTACCCAGTCATAATTTATTTCCATTTTTGTTTTCCCTCAAACACAAGTATAAATGTGTTCCTAAAAAAATATGCACAGCACTACGTATCACCTCTTTACAGAGATGGAAAGACCCACAAGTTTTCACAAAGAGCCTTCTACACCATATGCTTTTTATGTACAGCAAGTAGATTGGAAAGTGACCTTAAGGCTGCTAAGTAAGCTGTAACTTTTTTTCTGAATATCAAGTGAACATCTCTGAATACAAAGTGACTAATCACAGTAAACATTTTAATACGGTGGTTAATAAAGGTGTACAATTTATGAAAAGTACCTATTTCCTTGATGTAATTTGATTGATTGATTGATTGATTGATTAATTGATTGATTGATTGATTGATTGATTGATTGATTGATTGATTGATTGATTGATTGACTTTATTGGTCTCACAGTGGATACATTTGATGACATACTGTAAATAAACATCTGGCTTGTGAAATGGCATGATATCTTGTCTTTTCTGTTTTGAACAAAGATGAGCATTGCACTCAATACCTGAGTGGTACTGAACCCAATAGTTTACTCAAAATGAAACCTTTCATAATTTTGAACAAAAGACGGACATAAACATTACATGTCATTTTATGGGTGTAAATAATCATTGTACCGGATATTTTATAAAAAAAAAAAATCAAATAAATACGACAGCAACTGATGTTTAACATTAGGCTTTCAGTTCCGTTTTATCTCCCACTTCACCAAATGTAATCAAATTAATGTTGGGATTTTATTAGAGAAGTCTTATTTCACATCAAAACATGAATTTATTTTAAGGCTATATACAAATATTTACCAGAGGTGTCAATAAATGTGCACAATTTGGTTTCACATGGTTAATTAACATCTTTTTTTGTAAGAAATTCAAGAATTCTAACACTTTATTTTATTTTATTACACAGTCCAAATATCATATTGTTCCAATTTTGTAACTACTGAAAAACCGTTGTTTTGTCTCAGACTTGCTGAGATGAACCTCCTTCAACAAACACGGTGCTTGAGCAGACTGAGCTCCATCTTATCCCTGTAATCCACGCAGCAGATGCTGCTCAGCGTCATCCTTCATCGCCGTGTGCGTCACCAAAGCAGCTTGCACTGCGAGCGGCTCCCCCTCTGTGGAGTTCCTTTTCAGGCTCCAGGTCATACGTTGGGATCCTCCTCCAGCTTGAGGTCCGATGCCGTGCCCATGAACATGCTGCGGCCCCGCTCTAACCGGCTCTTCTTGTCCGTGAGCCGGAAGGCCTCCATGAACTCATCAATGTCGATGGTGCCATCATGGTTGCTGTCAATGGTCACAGCCAGGTTGCAGATGTCTTCGTCTGTGATCTCCATCTTCAGGTAGACGCTCAGGAGCTTCCAGGTTTGCCGGAAGTCCTCCATGCTGATAAAGCCTGTCACGGTTCAGAAGTGGGGAAGAGACCAGTAGATCAGTGGGTTAATCCTCATCGGGATTCATGAGGCCGTGACCTCTTTGACACACTCCATGTGGATTAACGGAAGCTCAGGAGACACCATTTAAACACACATGACACCCCAGTTATTCACAATGCTATTCACATTAACCTATAACCAATTCATTTGTTTCCAATATGCTAAATTATATTACCTGAGTTATCTGTGTCTACAATCCTGAAGATTGTCTCTAAAGTGGAGCGATGGCGGTACAAAGTTTCCAGCAGACTCTGGTCGATGTGCTGTGTCAGAGGAAACAGAAAGCACAACTAATAGTGGTCACCTCCTTTTTAATCACATTTTTATACTCTTCTCTAATCCTTCATTATTTTCATCCTGAAGAGCCAGGCTCTCATATCTTTACCAACTGTTTCTCAAGTTTCTAAAGGGTTTAACCTATTATTTCCCCACAGCATATTGTAATTTTTCAGGTAATGTTAGATTTTTTTTCTGAGATGCTTTTTTTTTTCTTTTTTTTTTTGGTCGGTCATTAATGCAAGCAGCTTATTTTTCAATCCTTTTCTATCCAGAACTGAAAATAAAAACGAGGAAACATAATCTTCCCTTTTCAGCTCTAACCCGAATTTACTTAAAGCTAAAATTGAATCCTTGCATTTATTTAAATCATACCACAAATAGTTTTGTAGCATAGTATGACCTTATCCTTAACACATGCTCTTGTTATCAAATAGTAAAAAATGTGTTTTGATATCTTTTAAACATTAATTAAAACATTCCCACCAACGTTTCAGCGGTAAACTGAACAGTTAGAACTGAACAGCTGTTAGAAGTATTATATAACTATATATATATATATATATATATATATATATATAGTTATATATATATACATATACTATTAAACTCCCACTGTTAGTGGTTTTAGCTATCTATTATATAAGCAAAAATGTTGCCTGCTCCCCTTTTTAGTCTGAAAAATATCAAATCACAGTCAGGCAAAATAAATCAAAATAAATCAAAAAGTTAAACCATTTTAGCTTTACACACACGTATAACAAGGGACAAGCATCTTGCAACTTTTTCAGTCTAATTACTTTTAAATCTATATGGCAAAAAAAATAATAATTTGAGTTTTTAAAAAGTTTTAGAACATTAAGAAGCTGTAATTTATTTTTTTATTACTTTTTAAAAGATTGACCCTTCCTGGCTGTAAAGTATTATTAACCAAATGAGACACATGGGACACATGCCTAATCATACTTTAAAAAATATTCTTATTTAGGTCTCATTTCCTCCTTAATCTCTAGATGTTGGATTTTGGTTGAGCCTCTTACGTCTGTATTAGGCCCTTTGATGGCGAGCTCGTTGAACCAGTCGTAATATGAAATCATGCTGTCAGTCGACCTGCAGGTGACAAGCTGAGAGCAGAGCATCCTCCACGGCAGATTCAGGTGCATAACACTCTCCACAGCTGAGGCCCAGTCGTTCAGGGACACTAAGCCTGATAGAGATCAGTGTTGAGATGGAAAAAGATTTTAATCAGTTTCATTTCCACTATAGCATCACTGTAGCATCTGCTCCTTGGTAATAAATGCATATATGATAAGATACGATAAGATGTAATAAATCTGACAGAAGTGACTAATATTAGGTAGGATTTTCTTTGTAAATGTATCCAGCGTCAGCAATCCTCCATGTTCTGGGCTTACTTTGGGTTCTCCCACGAGATTTTATTTTTAATGAATGTCTATTATAACACTGCACAAAGGGTACAAAGATTTGCTTTCAGATTTTCCATGAATCAGATGCTGAGCTTTCAGATATGACAGAATTAGAACCTGATTGGCTGAAGCTGATTCACTATATAAGAAACCAAAACCACACACACACACATACACACACAAACCTTTGTTCTCGGTGTCAAACTTTTTGAAGGCACAGAGGAGGTCAGACTTGTGAGCAAACAGCTGTTCACGCAGGACTTTCAAGGCTGAACGTTCAGTTCTCCCGACACTGCAGATGACATGAGAGAACACACAGATTCAAACACAATCATCTTTACATGGGGAATGTTTTCATCATATGTTTTAAACTACTTCAGGTGCTTTACAATAAGTTTCTTAGTATCAGTTGCATGTTTTATACATTGGGCTAAAAAAGCAATTGTTGATTTGTTCACTACAGTCAGGTAAGAGTCAGTTTGGGGTTCATAACACTTTTACTCATAACAAGGATAGAAATGGTTAAATTTATGGAAGGGGTTCAACAAATGACAGAATACATTTATCAGACAGACAAAATGTTTTTCCTTTCCTCTGTTAAGAAAACTGATTCCTATACCTTAAATATTATTTTTTTGGAGGCTGCAATGTTTTTTGTTTAGCTTTAATATCTTTTTTAACTATGGCTCATAAAAATTGGCTGTTACAGAATTAGGTCATGTACCAAAACTCACAGGGCAAAGCATCTAGCAAGACAGGAGGTTTGTTATCCCTGTCCCTTCCTTATTTTGCAAGTTTCCAATAAACCATCTGTAATTGTTTACTCCTTTCTCCAAACACTCCTGCTCATCACACCTGATCTAAAGAGAATCAAGGTCATTTTGCCTATTCCTATCCCAAATTTGTGCTTATGAATTGCTTTACAAAGCTTCCTGAAATTAGAAAAAGAATGTTGACAATCATCTTTCCTTCTGCACTATTCCCTTTGCTGTGGCTGAATAATCCCCTGTATTTTTTCCTTACCTTTGCCTGGCGGTGAGTTCCCTGGTCATGCTGCTGGCCTGATACTGAACAACATAAGGCACAAGGTCTGGACCCAACTTCACATAGGCTCCCCGGTTGCTTCCCACATCATAATAATTTGAGGCAGAGAATAAAGTGAGGACCTGGGAGAAGTGAATAAAGGAGTGAGCTTAGTAGAATGGCAGGTGGGCAGAACTGACTGTATTTAAAGGAATAGTTGGGAAACAATGATGGCATATTGAACTGACCCTTTAACCAGAACTCACCTTTCGGTTGTGGCAAAACTCGTAGCCTTCCTGTTTGCACTCATGGGACCGGATGATGAGCTGCATGTTGTGTCTGTTCAGGAAGTCCTCTGTGACATCTGGGCCCCAATAGCAACCTCCACCCCTCACCTCGTTGGGTATGCAGCCGTCCTGGTTCATTGGGTCACTCCACAGCAGGTCCAAGATCTGCACACACACACCCCGTCCCATTTGTTTGTCATAAATAATTTATTAAATTGTTTAACGTTTAGAAGCAAGTGCAAATTTTTTCACAACTCTGTTTTCTGATTGCTATGTTTTAAATGCTGCAAAATGCAGAAAAACAAATGAAAGACTAATTAGAAAAATTGCAATTTATTAACATGTTCTGGCTGTAGGTGTATATTTAATGCTATTGCCATTATGGCCATTACAGTTACATGGAATTGACCATCATGGCAGGTTGAATTTCAAATATATTCAAATAAATACAATTATTTATTTCATTTCTAAATAATCTGTGAAATTTACATTTTTTTAGCTGACAATAAATTAAACAGCAAAACAAACATGTGTTCCTAAGTATTTAGGGTTAAAGTTTGCAAATGCTGCTAAGTCAGTTAAACAAAGACTTAAATAGAATTAACCCTTTAAAGCCCGATCCAAGAATAAAACAAAACAGAAAATGATTTTTTGTTTTGGTTTGAAGTCCTTATTTGGCCTTTTAACAAAATATGTAAAAAGAAAAAACAGTACATTTTTGATATTAATAATTTATTACTATGCGATAAGTCAAGATGATTTTTTGTGTAGTCTTCTGCCCTCTGTTATCAGGTATATCTGATTGTGTACAATAGGATTTTGAGCAAAGTTTTTACCATTAAATTATGCAAAAGGTGTCAGACGCAAAACATTTCAGAAACCGTATGTATCAAATATGATACATTTGGTATTACAGGGTTAAAAACGTCCCAAAAACTGCCTGCAACAGTTTGCTGTTACAAATATTTAAATTTCAAACTTCCCATGAGAAATCTAGATTGTGAAAGCCTCATTTTAGGACATTTATCATATTGATCACTAATACATTTATAAAATGTAATTTTCAAGATCAATAAAGTCTTCTGACTTTTGCTTGGTTTTAAAGCAGAGAAACATGAACAAACCAAATATTTAGAGAAGACATCACAGGTTTTGTATTGCCTTTTTCACAGCCAACAGTTTGCATAATAGTCTAGCACTAAAACATTACTGTTCACAGATATTATCAGCTTCAGCTTTTTACTAATATGAGCTTTCCATCCTGCTCTAAGAGTTCTGTGGCAGTTGGCCTGAAAAGCAGATTAGAGTCACTGCAGGGAGCTCATCATGAATTACAGCAGCTGAAGGTTGTAATTGATGGAGGGCTGGAGCCTCCTTCACAAAGGTCACAATCTCTGACCTCAGCATCTTTGTTTGCATCACACAGTTACCATATAAACGTCTGAGCTAAGGCTGGCATCAAATCGTCAAACACCACTACATATTTCAGACAGGACAATCACAGTATGACCGACTCCATCCTTAGAATAATTGCTCATAAAGTTTTTGGGGTTTTTTTCATTTTGTTTTAATCACATTGTTAATTTCCTAATTCAACATGAACAACATGATGTTCTGCACTTTAAAGTGACCATAAGATGAGCAAACAACAATAAACATCACCGTTCTTCTTTTTTTCTTTTCTTTAAGCTAACCATCCCCCAAACACCAGACATCATTTAGATGGTTTTTAGGCTAAATCTAGTCGGTCCATCAAAGTCTTGATTTAGTACAGAAATACTTGTTGAAAAATGGGCTGTGTTTGGTCGCTCTGATTTTGTCTCACTTTAGTCCAATAACAGGCATTGAAAAGACTTGAAAACTGGGAAAGAATGGACCGCTCCTCTATGGTTAAGGATCTATATTTTTCTTAGGTATAGAATTTATATTTCTTATAGTATAGTTTTATGAGTATAAATGAAATGGAGAATAAGGTGGACAGTAGGACGGAGTTATGATTAACAATAAGCCCAACAATGATCAACAGACTCAGATCACAAGAGGTTAAAATCTGCTTTCCAAGTCAGCTAAGCCCTAAAAATGAGAGGAAGGGGCTCCTTTATCTGTGTGGAGTTCAGAGTACAGCAGCTTCATCAGTAGAAGTCAGCTGAGGTGGTTGTTTCTGTTGCAGGTTTTTAGCAGGTAGAACACTGAAGGATAGAAACACATTTCTGCCTATCAGATCCTCCATACTGAGTTAGAAAATATCTCCAGGGATAAGGATGTCTGGCTTAACCCACACAGTCTCTTCTCTGTGTGGGTTAAGCCAGCTACATGGATGGAAACTGTTACTCTACAGCAGTGCCTTTTAAAAAAAACATTAGAGCAAGGAGGTCATGTGTCACGAACCATGATAATAATTTTGGATAATGGGAACCAACGTCCATGCTTTATATTAAGTAGGTTCATTGCGTGAAGAAGATGAAAGGTTCGCTCTGCAGCTGCAGTTTCATAAGACACTCCTACAGAGGTGTGCCTTTGCTCCCCATAGTGTTTAACGGACAGAAAATACCACACAGGATTTCTTCCTCTTTTAGGACTGATATGAGGACAGTTCACATTGGAGAGATGCCAGCATGGAAAGCCCATGCTAAGGACCAGAAGCTAAGTCAGGCCTAATAGCTAATTTGAAACCAACTTGCTTCAAAACAGAGCATTTGCATCTTTTCTCTCTTAGCTTTCAGAACTTTTAGATGCTGACTGGAGATGGGAGTTTTAAGAACAACGAAGCCCTTCCTCTGGTGAGTGGCACATGGAATGAAAGACTCCTGAAGTGTGTGGCCTGCTGGTATTCTGCTAAATTCTGGAGCGAACTCAATCCTTCCATATGAAAATCAGCAGTTTGCAGGTGTGGCACAGTTAGGGACATTTTCCAATTACGGTAGTCTGATCTGTTGTTCATAAAGCTAGAACAAGCTTTATTTCCCTAACAGTTTAAACACCTATGTGACGCTCATGTGATTTTTCATCTGCACATTAAAATTTGGTTTCCAAATTATGACCCAAAGTCGTTTCATGGGAATCCCCATTAACTAAAGGTTATTGAATTCTTATTAGGCAAATCATTTAATAAAACATTATTTGACAAATAATGTTTATTTGCATATTGAATTTGCACTGTGAATTGGTTTGCACACATTGCAATTGCTTTACGTTAGTTAAAAGCACATTTAATTACATTCCAATTCTTCAAGACAAACTTTGGTTTGTCAAACATAAAATCCATACTTAACTATTGTATCATTGCAACATCTCAATGATTATGGTTTTCCACCATGTTTAGCCTTCCTTTTTTTGCATAGTAGTTTAGTTTAGTTGAGTTTCATTAGTTTTATTCAAGATATTTTTACTGAAATATGTTTGTTATGTTAATAAACTCCTACATTTTGAATGTTGGTTGTGGTTAATTTATTACATATATGAGCAGAATTATCTGTTTGACCATGATTTAAGCCTGATTCACACTTTTATTTCATTTTCTAACACACAGCCAATAGGGCGTGTGTTGATAAACAATATATGACAGTACGATTAATATCTGATAAAATAAGATATTTACCATCCCTACTGGGGTGGATAAGAAACACATTAAAGTTGCACAACAGAGCAAACTGAATAAATACTAAGGTCTCCAAGTGCCACCATAAAAACAACTGAAAAATGATTAGCCCTCTGCACTGTACGTTTGAATTAAGAAAGTCTAACATGGCTGCCACATTTGAAACTGTTTTAGTTGCAATAGTGATGTTTGTGAATGCACTTTTGTTGTTCTTGGAGTGATCAGTTTGTAAGTTCAGTATATAACAAAGAATTTGCTTTCATATCAAACAATCACATTGTTGAACATAACTTATTATCTCTGTATCTATAAAAAAAAAAAAAAAAAAAAAAAGCCATTTAACATTATCTAATGTCGGCCAATCATTAAAGGCCCTAACAGGCTCAACTCTTCTGGGATTGCTACATCGGTATATATGTCAGGTCTTCTAGAAGCTAACCATCTTACTGGTGTTCTTTTGGTTTGCAAAGACTCTAGAACCAGCATTTACCGAATAGCCTCTGCTGTATTTGATAGTTTGAAAAATTTATAACCGGACATATTGAAGTATTTATTCTTTCAGGGCATGATACCATCCTGGAATCCACACAGAACCTAGCAATGGCCCATCCTTTCTCAAAAGCCAATAGTTGGAGCTAATCCATTTGTGGTAATTGAAGTGATTGGAAAATCAGAATTCAAGAAATTGGATGGTTGGCACATTAATGTGCAGCATTTATGTGAAATTTTGGATGTCTTAATGTCATATCATTTTTATTGGAATATTAATTCCAAATGTCTGTGAGAAGACTGTAGGCTCTCTTACCTGCCGCCAATCTTCCTTGACATTATCACTGCTTACAGAGTCAGTGGACAGAGACAAAACGTCTTGCTGTGATCTGCTGAGTGCTGCTGCCAGAATATCCTCTTTCTTCCTGCTGTTCTCCAGCTCGTTATGCGTGTTGGCCTTGATCCGGTTAGAGAAGTCCTGCAGTGAACGGTTGTGGAAGCAATCCTTCGGGCCAAGGGGTTCAGGATATGTGAAGGAGGCCCGACGCTGGAGGATCCTGCTGGTGTTCCAGAGTTCGTTATCCAGGTCTATGTCAATAGACATGCCCGCTGGGCTGTGGTTCCTCCTCTTGGGAGGTCGCAGAGCTGAAACATACTGGTGCAGGACCAAAGGAGAGACGGGATGTAAAGGCTTTGATAATGTGTTTTAAATAAGTTTGAGTGTGGTTATTCCTCACATTATGACGGTTCACTTTGGCCAGGATGCTGAGGTCTGTATTTTCGGAGATACCTCCATGGAGGACCAGCACCTTCTGATCAATGATGGTTGCTAAGGGCAACCAGCTGAAAATCTTCTGCAGCAGCTTTAGAATCCGCTTCCCATGAATCTGAAGTGGAAATTAAACTGTTGTCAGAATTTCATATAATTTAGTTTAAGATATGGCAGCTGTCAAGATTGGAATTGTTTTAAATTCCTGTAGTTTGAAAGGCAACTAAAATCATCTTTAAGTTTATGGATTTTCTAGTAAACATCCTGTGCTTTAAGCTTATTTCAAAATGTATTCAAAAATTTTCAAAATATTTCAAAAGTTTTCCTTCCTCTTGAATTTTCTCACATTTTGTCACATTAGAATTACAAACTTGCATTTGTTTACTCATTCTTTTGAAATATTTGCAACCCTTTTTGCTAAATATGTTACTGATTGCAAAAGTATATTTGAAACACAGAAAATTGGATACCTGTGAAGTGTAAAGAAAGGGATGCAATTAAAGTTGTTTTGAGCATGGATTAAAAAAGCGCAACATACTTTTGAAATCCGTCCACTGAAATAATTATTTCTAGAGGTATGACTACACTATCAATCTCTATACTTGGTGCCAACGTCCCTCTGAAAGGTGAACCTGTGCACCAGTTTTTGGTCAGCTGTAGACTCTCACTGGGTTTCTTACAGTCCTGTCTGTGTTTAGATCCAGGAAATCATCACACTGCTACCAATATAGAGCAGAGGTTTCGGGCTGGTTGAAAATATTAGGTTTCCTTCTAACAGCATTTTCTCAATTCCCCTCAAGTCCCGTTGGAAGCAAACATCATTATTTTACATGTTTGTTTTATTTCTCCTTAATGGTTTATGTCAAACTATAAATCAGACATTCATTGGTCCTTTTTCCATTAAAAATTACATTTAATGAACACCTTTTTTCTTGTTACTCTGGACAACAAGTCCATAGTAGTGGAGTGTGTGGGTGATTTTCATCCTCTCTTATCAACAGTTTAAGTAATCCTCAGTTGATGCTTTCCTTTGCCATTTAAGGTGAATAATCATGTCTTAGTATTGCTTTTCACATGATGGATTGATCAATTAAGTATTCAAAGTTTGGAATATTGTCTTAAAACCTAGCCTGCTTCATCAGCTTCCTATGACCTGTCTGTTGTTTTCCTTTGTCTTGATGATGCTGTTTGTTAACTAATATTCTCACATATAAGATCGTCACAAATCAGCTTGTATTTATACTGCTATCTAATGGGACATTTGCAGAAAACATGTTGAGCTACATTTTATTTAAGAGGTTTCAGAGTAAAGGCACCTGAATACAAATATGTACAAATGTAATGAATTAGAATGTGTTCTGATAAAGTATTTTTTCAAATTAAAAGTACTTTTTTGAATTTCAACCATTAGGTTGTTATAAAAAAAACATTTTTCATCAAGACTATTTTTCTTTGTTAAAGATCATTTTTGTTGTGGTTTGTTTTTCTGAGATCTTACAAGTGTTTTCATCACAACAGAGAAAAACAAAAGATTGATGTATGAGTGTGATAAATCTATGTAATGTGAATCAAGTAAGTGAGAACTTCCCTATAATCTAATTATTTTAACAACAATGTATGAATATCACAAAATAAAGGTTTTTGTGAGAATAGCGTTGTAAACCCTTCTTACTAGTATGCTTCTTGTGTTGATCTATCACATAAATCCCAACAAAATTCATGATGTTTGTCTTTAATGTGCCAAAATGTGAACAAATGCTGTTAATACCTCCTGTAAGCTACAACTATTTTCATACACACAATACCACAACAAGTGTATTTTTGGATCAACAATGACATGAAATAAACAGGGGATACTCTTTACCAAATCCTTCAGCATTTGGAACAACCAGCTCAATGATGTGAATGTGCCAAGTTTGGACTTAATGGGTAAATTTGTAGCTGCAGCTCCTTAAAGAAACAGTAACATTTCTGCTTCCAGATTGATGGATTTTGAATTAAGTCCAGATGCCAGCTCAGAATGTGTGCCACATAACGGAAAACATTTTTTTCTCATCCAGTCTTTGGACTTTTCATCAGGAGGCAGATGCCCTGCTGTGTACTGGTTTAACAACCTGAAATCCAATTAGCTGACCCGAGGAGGGCCTGCTATTCTGTGCCTTTCTAGCAATACAGAGGCCTCAGTAACATATATACAGTAGCCAAGCAGGGGTGTTATTCCTAGGCTATCAAGAAAAAGCATAGGTGCTCTGCAGTTGTACAGGGGGAAAACTCACCTTGTATTTTGTCAACACCTCCTTGGTGAACCCATACCTGGAAACATAACAAAGAATGTCTGAGAGAGAACAGGAGGCTCTGTTCTATCAACATCAGATAATTAAAATCCCTCAAATTTGTAAGCTTAATGTTCACCTGAGGTTAATGATGTGGTCCTCATGGTTTCCTCTGTTTAAGAAGACGTCACACGGATAAACGAGCATGAAGGAAAACAGGATGAGGAGAATCTCGATGGAGTCTTTGCCTCGATCAACAAAGTCTCCATTAAAAAGATAGGGCTTGTCTAAGGATGGCATGCCATTCTACAAGGTAAACAAGGGCAAATAAAAGCAAGATTATCAGGATAATATGTAGTATGTATACAAACAGCTGTGCAGTGCAGAGAAAAGTGAAGAGATATAAAAAGTTTTTCGCTATTCTGTTCAAAATAAAAAATCCTAGTCTATTCAATCATCTGTGTGAAGCATATAGCCATTTAACTCATACAGAAACCATCATTGATTATTTGACAAGTAAAAAGTTAATTAAAAATATTTGCACTCTAAAAGTATATTTTAATTTTTTGCATTTTCCCCTTTAACCATTTAACCTTCTCTTTAATTAATATAAACACATTATTACCACTTAACCTTTTTACATTTGGTCACATCACAGCCATATGGGGCTTTTATTTACACATAGCAAACTGAATAATAAGTGGCAAGCATTTGCATTAAGCAATATTTACTCTTAAACTCCTAATTAAATTTTTTTGCATTTTTTCCTTGAAGAAGTTACCTTATTAGTAAATTAATTCCATCTATGTGTGATTCAATCTCAGCATAAATAGAGCTGCTCTTTGAAGAATTCAGTGTTTTGAATTTAAAATTTGTGAATAAATAACATCATTAAGGACTAACACTGACATGTCAGGAAAAACACGCTAAATTGGGTTTAGAAAACAGCATCACAGACTTTTGATATCCAATGGAGTACAATACATGTTCAATACATAGTTTGAAAATAGGAAGTATAGCACAACTTCAAGAGCAATAAGTTATTTTGAAGAAATGAAACAACCCAGGCATGGAGAACTTTAATTATAGAAAGCAGCTAACAGGCCAGCGACTTCTCTGGAGAGTTTGCAGGGATCAAGCTCAGACGGGAACATTCATTGTCAAGATAACTCTGAGATAAGGTCTCTATATAAGCATGGGATCAGAACTTTTAGAAAGTACTTTTTACAGGCTAGACTGGAGACACTGAAAAGATGGAAGAAGGATGCTATAATCAGATGAGATTAAATATAAATCTGGAACATAAATGTCACTCTATGTGTGGTATCTCCCTGAAAACATAATCCCCATAATTGAACATGAAATTATTATTATTGTGCGTTTTTCTGTAGGGACAGGAAAGCTGGTCAGAGTTTAAAGAACATTTTGTGCAGATGAATGATGAAAAGCCTAGAAGTTTTCCACCCGATCCAATTTAAAATGTGTCGTTTTGCAAAAAACTATCTAACAATATTTCATTATGACACAGTCCCCAGATATAAAAATATAGACAAATATATGTTTCCGGTTACATGATTGCTCATTTGTCAGAAGGTTCAATGGATATAAAAACCTTTTTATATCCATTTTTATATTCATATATAAGAGTGTATCAGTTCAAATATAAATGAGCAAATAAAAAGCTGAAAATATAGTTCTTACAGTATCTAACCTTGTAAAAAATCAGCAGCAAATCCTCCAGCTGTCCATGCAAATCACCTGTGCAGGAGATCACACAGAAGAAAAAGGAACATACTTAAACAAAGTCATAAAAAAATCACTGAGAAGTATTCTCTGGCTTAATTGTCATATTTTAGATAAATCTACCAAACTTTATTAGAAATTATCATAAATTCCAAGACAGTCCTGCTGCTTGTTAAATCTTACCACAAATAGTGACCTCTTTGCTTTGGCAGGTGGAGATGCGGTTGATGTTTGGCATCATGCGGAGTACTTTCCAGGTCTCCAGGAGCAACTCGAGCACATAGCGAGAGTGCAGCTGCTACTGGGACAGAGATGAGTTAGAAAAGATGGCTGCAGACACTTTCCTGGATATTAAACTGATTCTGTCATTTTAGAAAAATTTTCCATCATTTAAGGGAAACCAAGAACAAACATGTGACAACAATAACAAAACACTTTTTGTTACTTTTGGTAATGTATTAAAAAAAGTCTCAAAATATATGTAGAGTTTATTGCAGTGCATCATTTTACCCTAAATAAAAGTACCACCACTTGTTTTACAACTTCTCATTCACTATTTTATCTTTGCACACAAGCTAAGAACATGTGAACACTGCAAGCTCCTACTTTCTTATTTCTGAAGGCTTCCAGGAGGCCGACTGCCTGCTCCACCGTCAGGGGGAAGGTGAGATGAGGCCCAGAGTAAACCTCCGGCACTTCAATGTTCTTGTAGCAGAAGTATCTCTCCCATTCTGAGTCCCAACAGACATCATTTTCTCGAAAGATGTGCGAGATCAAATTTCCTGCAACATCAACAAAGTTCAAGCTCAGTTTGATTGTTTTGAAACTGCATCAATTATCTCAATTATGCAAGACCTATCTTACGTTCTGTGCTGGATGGCGTGAAATTGTCCATGAGGTAGCCAAGAAAGTTATAAAGCTGCAAAGAGAGGAGAGGAATTAAGGTTTAGATTGCATTTTTATTTATTTATTTGACTTATCTGCTAATCTGAATATTTGCAGCTCTTTCTTACCTTGATCTGGGCCTGTTCTCCGGAGTATTCAATGGACTGGAAGATGTGCCAGGTGTATCTCCGTCTCATCTCTGTGCGAGCAACATATTGCCGGTACCATCGTTGAATTAGAACAGCTGCTCTTATAGCTGAATTATAGAGAGTAAATGAGATTTTAAAAAGAAAAGAAAAAAAACTCTTTAAGTTATTTTTGCACATTTCATGTCTCATATTTTAAGCTTTAAAGTTAAGCCACTAAAGACCTGAACTTGTAAAGAAATACTGGGTAGTTTCTAAAAAAAAAAAAAAGGAATCACCATTATCTTGTCATAAACTTTATTGTGTTTAAGCAATAAGCATGTTATCATAGGTTTAAAGGTTTTACACACAGATAATCTACGTCTTAGTTTTCTGCTTAAAAATATAGGGATTTAGTTTATCCTATAAAATGATGATACAGGCACAAAAAGCAGGGTAAAAAAGTGACTTACTGGTGACGGCTGAGAGCAGTGGAGCAGAAGCAGAGAGACGGACATTTCATGAATATATATACATATATAGTTTGCATATGTGAAATCAAATATAGATTTTATTTTTCTGTTTTATGTAAGAGCTTTATGTTATACCTTTTCTGGAGTGTTTGTGGAACTGGTTGGACCTTGAAACGCCACATCCCATGACTGTTCCTGTTGAGGATACAAAGAAACCATGATATTAGTGAGAAACTTGAAATACAATGCAGAATGAATAAAAACAGGAGTATGCACATGTAACGGCTGGGATACCACTAGAGGATATATAAGACAGGTTACACACACTGTAAATTAGTCTCATTTTAAAACAGTTCTGTTTTGGTCCAGACCTCAGATAATAGTTGGGAACATTTGAGCTGCAGAGGAGCTAAATCTGGAGGCCATTCATGCTTTAATCTTGTTAAGTGCTGGTCTACTGCTTCCCACTGTGATTGGCCTCAATCCTGCCTCACTGGACTGTTTTTGTCTCAATTCTACGAAGCCTTACATAAAAAAATAAAAAAAACGAAAATTACCACAAATTTCTGGAGAAACTGAAAAACATCTGCCTAACTGGAACTTGAAAAGAGGACACATTAAATATAAGACTTTTATTGATGTCTTATACTGAAATGTTTTTTTTTTTTTATTTATGGAAGTTTTTGAAGAAATCAGAACAGTATTATGAGTTTACATCCACATAGGTATTTTTAATCCTCTAATTAAAGTTGTAAACATGTGAATCTTTTGAGAACAAAACAAAGGAAACTCAAATGACTTAAAAAAAAAAATAATAATAAAAAAAAAGTCTGAATGGTGATAGAAACATCAAAAGTTCGAGTGAGAAAATTTTGGTTCTGTTTCATATAGTGACATCTAAAAACATTCACCTGCTGGCAACTTTAAATCTGATGTTTACTTACGTGACAACCTTCTTTATCCAGTAACAGCTGCCCTAGTTATTTGGCTGTCTCTTTGTTGTTTCAGTGTGAATTTAAAGAGTCCTTTGCTCCGTTGCATTCTCCACAGGTCCACCCGGATCAGGTCAGGTATTAATGTGAGCTGGTCTGATCATTGTAGGTGGATGAACAAGAACAGGAAGTCAACACACAGGCTCCATATTGGATGGTACCCTGACTGTTCAACTCTTCCTTACTGGGGTGAAGCTTCTTTAGTCCTGGCTCCCTGTCTGTGATCTCATAATCAAAGCACTTGGCCTCAAGTGGATTATCTTGCCTAATGACTTGATGCGACTAGAGGAATCTTTGTGGTGGCAAGAAGGGAGGTGACATCTGGTTTGGAGAGGATTTTTGACAGCAGGAGACTAACCGGGTGTTTACATGTTATCTGAGGAAAATTTAAATGAGCACACGTAATGAGGTCTCCTTAAAAGGATTTTCGACATTGTCCTGATGGGATCTTGCCACCTTGTAAAGATAGAAAGTCCATTTTAAATAGAGCCACAGCAGAACCTGAAACCTATTTGGAAAATGTAAGACCAGATCAGATTATGTGGTTGTAGTGTCACATACCTGGATTTATGTAGAAATAATGTCAAACCAACATAAACAATCTAGCTGAAACCATAATGTTTAACTTCTAATTTTGCAAGAAAAAAAATATGTGAAGCACCTGAAATAAACCTTTTCAGAAAGATCATTTGGATCAGCCTACATGAAGTGAGGAGCTAAGCAAAGCCCCTGTCCCTCTCAATCAACAGAAAAACAAACTAACTCTAATAAAGTATAATAATAACTATAAATAACTATAATAAACAATAGATAATTGACCCTGGATGTTACCTGAGATGCAGTGCATCACAAATGGAAAAAAATACATAGTTGCCAATAATAACAGATTAAATTGCTGTTCACTTATGAGAAGTAAATCAAAATGTTTAAGTCTTACATTTTTTCCTGCTGACTAATAAGAAAATACCGTTTTTACACATTATTATTTATTTGTGCGTTTATAAGTCTGTTATAACCGTTTTCAATTAGTTTTCAACCTCTGAGTGTCAATTAACCACAGTCAGTATCAGCAGCCTTGGTTTACAAACACATGCTCACATTGGCACTCTTGAACGCACCTCCGTTGTAAACGTAAACAAAGATGGCGTAGGTAAGCTAAAGCTAACGCTACTAGCGTTCACTGTGCTTTTCATGGCTACAGAATGGTTTTAATTTGTTTTGCTTAAGTTGTATTTTGCCACTTTAAAGGTTTTCATATAAATCTGTAACACCGTATGACTCGCTAATGTTGTTGGACACAACTTTGAGTGAGACTTGACTTTGGTTAGATAATGTTAGACTCAGAGGTCACATAAAGCTTAGTAACACTACTTAGAAATGTTTTAAACAAACTCCCACCAGCCGATCGTAAACCACATTTTACACCTGAACAGCTTCAGAATTAACCTCATTAAGAAGGAAAACAAATCTGAAGTTTAAAGTTTTTATCGTCATTAATCCTTATTTAAATGGGAAATAGTTTAGTATTTTCCCTTAATGTCTTTGAGAGAAGTTTGCTTTCTTTGAGCAATATTAGTATCTTTGTAGTTTCCTTTTTTTCTGTTTCTGCTGACTCTGGGATGGGATGTCTGATTGTGTCTTTAAGAGATAACATTCTGACAACATCATTTTATACAGAGACTATAAAGACATCTCAGCAAAGAGAAAACCGAAATCATATATAATTTTTCACTATACATGTTTTTAAATATACTATTAATAATAAAATTCAGTACTTAGAGATTCCCTGATCTGTTTTTTGTTTTGTTTGTTTTTTTCCCAGGAATACTGATTTTTATTGCTTTAATTATTGCCTGGCCTGTGGATTACATGTTCAATTTGTTAGTTTTTCTTTTTTCTTTTCTTTTTAAACAGCTTTACAAATAATAATAAAAAAAACATGTTGAAGGTTCTTTGACTGAGGTAATCAGTTTGAAACAATACAAATTTAAAGGACTGAGAGCTGGTTTTCATTTAAGCCTTAAATCATATTCGCTTTATTATTATTTATTTTTATTAATAACCCCCTCACGCTCAAATTAAGTTGTAGTTGCAAGAAAAATCTGATAATGGAGAAAATGATCATATTGGGTAGTAATATACAATTCAGACTTTTTTTTGAGAGAGACCTTCACATGCAATAAATTCTGGGATGTTGCAGATTTGCAACAGTGGCCCGGAGTGGTAAATTAACACTGAAGACTGAATCTGATATGAACGTTACCTTTATTTGAATGTCACAAACAATAAAAATAAAAATAAAAAATTCTCACAAAATTAGACAACTTTTTCTCAAACTTTTTCTCCACCGACATCTCAAAACCTCTTTTTTTGTTTAACAGAAAGGGCCTTCTTAAAAGGCCCTTTCTGTTAAACTGTTGCTCAAAATATAGGCAAACTAGTAGATAAAGCATCTAGCATCCATCGGTACCTGTTTGGGCACACGTTGTGAATCCACAAAATTGAAATCGAGATAACTCTGGTGAAAAACCCAGAGGAGATAAAATCTACTAATTGGCATGTGTCATATCTATACACATTCATGTTTCATCTTATGTAGTATTGATTTCAAAATAATGGAAATTGGTGGTGATACCTATATAAAAAATTGGTGCTTAGAAAATCTGTTTCAGTGACACCAAGGACTCAGCCATGTTGAAAGTGAGTCAGCAGTGTTATCTGGTGAGCTGGAGAGAAACTGTTTGTTGCAAATGCACAACTAAGTCCTTCTGTTGTACTCCTGAGTAACAAAAGCTCTTAAAATATGGATGTGGAGTAATAAGCTAAGTGGCAACATCTGCCTGGAGAGGGTTTAAACAAAAAGCTGCAAAAAGGTGCTTGCTTTGTGAGGACGTATAGGAGTAAAGGACTTCTTATATTTCAGTATCATATGCCAACACCAGATCAAAGCCCATTTATTTGATTGATTTTATTTGTCTCCTAAAATAATTCAGCTTTAAATAATGCAGGTGTGAGGCGGGTTCTTTCTGCAGCAAAACCAAGCCTTTTTTTAAAAAGTTGATGAGATCATGTAGATCCACATAACAAAGATTTTGTGCTTCATAGAATAACAAATATGGAGTTCTTCATTTCTATTTATAGATTTGAAGATATGAATTGACAGATTGTTTGAGTTAGACACCTGGCTGAACTTTTACCTCCTGTAATGAGACAAAAGTCCAGCTTGCAGCCATTTGTCCAAGGTTTTGCCACTCTTTTCCATCTGTACTCATTTGTACCAATTGAATAAAAAAAACACATAAAATGAAATCTAAGTTGTATGTTAATTATGTTTTGCAGCTTCTTAACTTTTATTCAATATTTTCAATAAGCAGCTCACACTGGAAAAAAAGACTCTTTGGTACATAAGACATCACAGCTCCATTTCAGCACATCTTTTCAGCTGTTGAAATCTCTCTCTTAGTGGAGATTGAGGGAGAAACCCAAAATATTTTACTGACAAGTTGATCTTGTCTTCACAATGTGTCCGTTTGTTTTAACCGGTCTAAACCAAATTCATCCTCTCTGCTGCATCAGAGGATCAGGGTCACATGCTAAATGTAGATACTAAGTAGCTACTGTTCAACGGGTTTAAAACAGTGTTTTTCACAGCGGTTGTGCACAGCGTTAGATCTGTGAAGACGAGGTGCCATGACAGGTGTATGTAGTTGCAGTTTTGCCCTGATTAATGAGGTTTCAAAGTTATTTCAGCTCTTTTCTGGGAGTTATATAATCAACAATATGTTATCAACAAATCCAGCTAGTCTGCTATATTTCTAAGTATTGTTGCACCATATTGCCCTGAATAATTCTGATTTTAATTTAGTTGTTGTTGTTTTTGTAATCCATCAATTTCTGCACCAATTATAGAGAGGAGAAAAAAAAAACAAATATGAAAATGTTTTTCAGATCAGATGTGTTGCAGTACTAAATGTAGTTGATAATTTCCAGAAAAGATGATGCTTTTAAGCTTTTTCTTTCGCCAAATTGTTAGAAAATAATTCAACAAAACTTCTAGTTGTGTATCCATTTTGATTTAAAACTCTATATTTGTGTATTTCATTTTAGACTCTTCCATTTCTTTTTTATGTTTTAAAGACTGCGCTGAAAAATGCATGCAAATGTCTTTTTTTATTTTGTATATATCCAAATTGTA